AATAAATAGGACACACATGTGTAAATACCGAATAGTTTCTCTGGTGTGAGAAACTGAAAGTATAAATAAGGATTAAAACGATTAAAACAAATAATTGATCATTTGAAATAGGAAGAAAAGGTCCAAAGGCGTAGGGGAAGTGGGAGGGGAAGGGGAAAGGAAAGAAGGGAAAGGAAAAACTATGAGAAAATGAAAATATGGAAACAAAATCTTTGTAAATAGGGAAGGGTGGAGGGGGTGAAGGGAGATAGGGACTGGAAAAAAAATAAGAACCAAGATACATCATGTACAGGTACAAGTACCCAATGATAAATGTAAATGTATTGTATACCTAAAGGGTACCAATAAAAGAAAAAAAAAAAAAGAACAACTCTAGGTATTAAAACCAAGCTGAAGTCCATCATTAATGTTAACAAACAAAAAGATGGCTTACCGTGATGACTCTGAGAACTCCCCCTCCATCATTGACCGTTACTTTGTGAAGATTTCTTGACACGAGACCATGTAGGTCTTGGCTCTCCCACACTATTGTACCTTCAAAGCTCTTTTGGGGGAAGAGATGAATAGTGAGTCAATTCTTTATTGTTGTCATTTAGATTTTAGGCATTTAGGTCAAGACTTTTATTTTAGGCCACAACTCTAACAAACCCTTGTTAAACGTTTTGGTGGGTACCCCAATTATATCTTTCACACATATCTAAAAAAATTAAAACAAACAAAAAAACCACAAAAAAAGACACTGAGTATACGGTCAATTTTGCAGATACGGTGTCATTTCCCATTGTATCAAAACCACTTCCTGACATTGCAGCTGTTATAGCTCTTCTTTCTTGTGTGTACAACATGCCACTGATTTGATGCATCCTTATTCAGTATTTCCTTACTGTCAGACATCTGGTTGCTACCTAATATCTCCAGAAATAATGTAGGAGTGTTTTGATACACTGTACACTCCCTACTATACAATTTACAAAAAGTTACATTAATTCAACAGATTCTAAAAAATGATTTCTTATGCATTTTTATTTCTCTGATTCTAGCAATGTTTAAACACTACCTTTCTCTTCTGAGAACTGCCTTGCCATGCTTCTTTGCCATTTTCTATCTTCTATTTTAGTTACGAATTCTATATCAACCTTTTACAGATATCTTAATCCTCTGCATATTTTACATCCCCAAATATTTTGTCAGTTCTGTCTGCCACCTATTATTTTTTACAAATTCAAAAGTCCATACATTTTACCTTGTCAAATTGGACAACTTTTCCTTTGTGATTAGTACTATTAAACACTTAGCTTAGAAAGTTACACCTTCTGCCCCAAGGTGTGATATTCTTTAAATCTAAACACCTTCAAATTTCTCTGTCGTCCCCACTTTTATCTCTGCCTGGCTGGCTTCAGGATACTCAGGTCTCAGCTCTACTAGCATCTCCTCCAGCTTTCTCCAGAGCCAAGAGAAGGTACCAACACTCAATTTCTATCACATTCATTGCTTTATTTTCTTAATATCATTTACCATTCTGTGATTTCTTTTTATACTGCCAAGCTAAGTGCAGTCGAATGAAAGGAACACAAGGGTAGGATCTTGTCTCACCAATCAGTGGGTACTGTGTCCCTAGTAACTTGAACACCCACACATAACTGAATATTCAAGAATGTTTGTTGAATACATAATGTGGAACAAAAAGTCAATTAGAATGACTCCTGGTATAGAAATAAGTTATAGCTTTAATACCTTAAAAAAATTCATATATGAAATGGAGAGATAAAGTATTCATACTAATGTCTCATATAACCAGCATTGTAAGGAAACTAGAGAAAATCAAATTTGTCTGACAAGTTAGGCCAATGGGTTACAAAATTTTACTATAATTCTTTTCTCCACCAAAACAGAAACACTGTGAGAACTGGGATTCCCTTGGGCTATCTGTCTCACGGCAGACAAACACTTACTCATCATTATCTATGAAATTACCAAGGTGCCCTGTGGAGCCCTTAGGGTCCTCGGGCAGACCTTGCAGAAATACCTCAAGCTATGGTATCATTCCTTAGTCTTTCAGTTAGAGAAAACGATACCTGCCTCAAAGGGCTGTTTGAAAACTAGTGATAATGAATATAGTGCAGTGTCTGCTTAGAAAATAGTGCTTTACTACCAATGGAAGGCACACAGGAAGTGAACTCTTCCTTTAAAAGATTCTAATTTCTATACCTTCCCTACGTGACTTTAACCCCCTATTGAATCTGAGGTCCAATTTGAGTTCTGTAGAAACAAAATCATTCTCACAAATATATAAAAAAGAGCCAGCCATAGCTGACACATGCCTGTAACCCCAGCACTCTGGGAGGTGGAGGCAAGAGGACCACAAGTTGAGCCCAAACTGGGCAACTTAGCTACTTAGTGAAACCCTGTCTCAAAAAAAAAAACAAACCGCTGGGGATATTGCAGTCTGAAGACCCTGGGTTCAATCCCTAAATATCATGAACAAAAGGTTCTGCTAGGGACTTCCAGGAAGATGGTAGAGTGGTGAACGGCAGAGAAAGAGCCTCCAGATTTGGTGTCCAGATGCTGGAATTCAGCAACGTGAGGAGGAGGGAAGAAGGATCTGAAGAATTGAAGCCCATGAGGAGAGCAGAGAGATTTCAATGAACGAGGAGGAAGAGGCAAGTGGTGTTTTCCCCCTGGGCTCTGATTCACGGCCTGGGAGGGGCAGCTCAAACCTGCAGACACCATGACTACTGGTGACCCCAGAGGCCTCCACAGAGAAATGCACCAGTGGAACAGAGCAGTGCATGCAGCAGACTGCAGTGGCTGGTGAGTTATTTGGGTTCAGATGTTCCCCAGGAGAGGGCAAATGGCCAGTACCCATCTTGGAGGGGCCAACTGAGCTCAGGATTCAGAGAAGCTGCAGGCTCCATCTAGCAGCACCAGTGTCAGGGAGAGGCTGCTGAGTTAAGTTAGTGAGAAGTCAAGAAGCCGAGTTCTAGCTTGCAGGAGGCACATGGAGTGTCTAACAAATTGGGTCCCAGCCTCACAGCCAGAGACCACCTAAACTTCGGAGGAACTAAACGTACAGGCTTGCTGGGATTGTCCACTGCCCCACTGTGCGTTTATGGCTGGCTTGCTGGAATTGATCATCATGGATCTGGACTATCTACTTTGTCTACTAGTGACAGTGGAGACATGCCTTGAAGTGGACATTTTTTTCTTGTTTTCTTCCTCTTTTTGTTTCTTGATCATTCTTCCTTTTATATGGGTATGAGCATTGTTTCTGATTTTGTTGTTTTTATTCTGTTCTGGATTTTCTTTCTTTTTAAAAAATTTTTGGTACCAGGGATCGAACTCGGGACCTTGCACTTGCAAGGCAGGTGGCAGAACCACTGAGCTAAATCCCCAGCCTTGTTTTTTTTATTTCCATTTATTTTATGCCTAATTTATTCCCGTGCCATAAGTTTTTGTTTCTTCAGTTTCTTCTGGGATATCTTTTTCTTCTGTGCAACTTCCTCCTCTGGTTTAGGAACAATTTGTTCCTTTTCAGTAAGGATCATCTCAATATGGCAGGGGGAGCTCATGTATGGGTTAATCCGGCCATGAGCTCTGTAAGTACGGCGGCGCATCTTGGGTGCTTTATTCACCTGGATATGTTCAATGACCAGAGAATCGACATCTAAACCCTTAAGCTCAGCATTACTCTCTCCATTTTTAAGCATGTGCAGCAAAAATTCAGCACTCTTTTTGGGCCACTGGCCCTGTGTCCACCCCCACTGTTTGGCCTGGGCACACCTACCAACTCCACCATTGTATGCCTGAATGGCACACATTGTTTCTTTAATGTGACATCCTTCAGGTACTTGGTGGCCTTTTGGCTATGCATACGCTTGATGGCCTGGGCAGTTTCACGGGTGTTCTTAAAAGTGAACACGAAGACTTGAGCCTCTTGATTTGCATGATTTTGTGGGGTTTTCTGGGTCAAGAAAGAATCAAACCATTTTCACAGGTCAGCTCTGGCTGCTTACAGGAAGAGTCAGCCTTTATTTATTTAGGTACCTGGGATTGAACTCGGGTCCTTGTGCTTGCGCGGCAGGCAGCAAAACCACTGAGCTAAATCCCCGGCCCAGCCTTGTTTTTTTTTAATTTGTTCTTTCTTTCCCTCCTGTTTTCTTCATCAGTTCTCCAAAGTTGTTGTTGTTATTTTTTCTTTGGTACTGGGGATCAAACTGCAAGACTGGGGGTGGCAACACTGAGCTAAATCCCTGGCCCCCAAAGTTCTTCTAGTCTTGTGTCCTCCAGCCTTGCTTCTAATTTCTTTCTCTTCTATTCCTCTGTTTCCGCTCCTCTCCAACCCCTTTTGCATTTTCTCCCTGAGGTAAAATCACCATACTGAGGGGTTGTTTGCTTTATACAATTTTCTGATTTTGGATATTATACAGCTACAAATCTAGTTCATATGGTTAAAGGTGGCAAATTAATAGTTACCACAGTTTGTCATGTTCTAGGTTGTGAGACATGAATGTTCTGATCAGTTGCTTTTTCTGTTATGCCAAGACTGAGACTGCCTAAGTGTCATAAACAATACCAGTGCCAAAGAACCAGGAGCTGGGCCAAGTAGGCAGCAGCTTCTCATCCCCAATAAATTGAAGGCAGGATCTTGCAACAGACTCAAAATCCAAAAGACAGCTACACCTGGAAGACATCTCTCAGAAGTAGTCATTTCCTAAGGTTTCTATGGTTTTTGTTGTTGTTGTTGGGTTTTGTTTTGTTTTCTTGGTACCGGGGATCAAACTCAGGACCTTGCACTTGTGAGGCTGGTGGTGGAACCACTGAGCTAAATCCCTGGTCCCTTAGGGTTCTAAATATTAGCAATAAAGCTACTCGCCATAAGCAATTTATAAGCATCAACCCAGTACTTAAAACAGAAAAACAGAAAATGAGAAGACACTTAAACAAGATGCAAACACCCCCTCAGACTTTAAGTTCACCAAAGGCAAACCCAGGGGGCAATACGGTGGAACAATCCAAAAGCCATCCACCTGGACTCTGATATGGTAACAGTGGAAGTAACAAAGCAGATAAATGAGGCTGTAGAAAAAACTGAAATAAAAAATAATCTCTCACATAACTACAGAGACGGTAACCACAATGAAAGACATGTTAATAACTCTAGAGCAGATACAGATAAAAAATAGAAGGGCTTAGGAAAATGATAAAAACCATGAATGCTCAACATAGGAAAGAAATGGAATCCATGAAACAGATTCAAACAGATATCCAGGAGATTGAAAATTCCATTCAAAGTATATGCAATAGAATAAGCCAATGTGAGAACAGAATATCAGATATAGAAGACAGGAGTGCAGTTAGTGATCATGAAAAGAAAGATTTCTTTAAAACAGCAAGGGACTGCAAAAAAAAAAAAAAAAATCCAACAGCTGCTAAATGATGCAAAGAAGAACAATATAAGATTGGAGTTAATGAAAAAGCAGGAGATAGTGCAAATGACATAAAAAACCTGTTTATACAAGTAATGGTAGAAAACTTCCCAAGCAT